AACACGACAAATGTGTCAAATCCATACTCTGTTGGAATTTATATCCTAGTTTTGTTACCGACTGTTTGGAGTAGCTATCGCTTAGCCATACAGTTTTCCCACCCGACTTTTTCATTGATTTCACTACGCGTCTACAGAAAATGTAGAGTAGAGTTGCTATTGACAAGCTTCCTAAAATCGACTGTGTCTGTCGGGAAGTTATCTTAAAACTTCCCTTAGTGGGTGTTTCTTTAAGAGGAAAACTCTATGAGAATTCATTGCGGATAAGACGGGGGACGTCGCCTGATACGGTAGGCGAAGTGACGCCAGGGCATTCCAACTATCGTTGAATATCGCAGTTCTTCTTCTCTTCCATGTCCAGTAATGAAATGTATAAATGCGATTGCCTTTGTACACTAGATGACTGCGAGAAAATGCAATTCACGTAGTGCTTCATACACTGTAGGTGGTGCAACGTGCTAATAAGCCTACCCTAGTAAAAAAGTTTGTTTTCAAACGATCGTCAATCCATTTGTACCAGCCGTACCGGATGACATCTCGTTAGCAATTCATGTAGTGCTTCATACACTGTAGGTGGTGCAACGTGCTAATAAGCCTACCCTAGTAAAAAAGTTTGTTTTCAAACGATCGTCAATCCATTTGTACCAGCCGTACCGGATGACATCTCGTTACCGTATTTCACGATATCACTTCCATGGAGCCATTCCGTTAAGCTCGCTCTGGCATGAATGTGACAAACCTGAGTAGGGGTACTTTGTTTCTGCTTTAGGATTTCAAGCATAGAAAAGAAAACATCGACCGTCATATTTTTTGCAGACTGGTGTACTCAGTGCCCATTTGGTTGGGTGTTGCACATGGTCGCCTAGTCGGCCACACCAATTAGGCCAATTTCGTACCGCAGAACACCCGGAGCATTAGAACAAAAAATTAGAAAAAGCGGTCCTAAACAGTTCACTATTTTATTAGCTGACTGTCCTCTAGGCAAACAACCGTCTTTGTTTACAGTAAGCAACGGAACGTCTTCCCGGTATGGAGGCTTGAGAGAGTGGCCACTTTGGAAAGTATGATTCTTGAGCTTGCACACCTATTGTTGACTAGGTAAACAAGCGTTTCACGACGAATGCGGGTTTAGCGACTGGTGTTATAACTACACCTCTTTCAATTTGGAGGTATTGTATTAACGTTTTGCCCCACCAAAATGCTCTATTACACAGTGCTCCAAGTCTGTTGCTTTTCAGAACAAATTGAGCCCCAAACCATGCAGTCAATGAGCTGGATAATCTGGGTCCAAGTTCATGTAACCTGGGATGTTCAGGAGAAATTCATTTACTTCGTTATAGGAGTGATTCGCTGGGGCAGAATATTTCGAAGCCTTTACTTGTCTCGAGGAGACTGGACCTTATCGCAATATGACGGTTCGCGCACGGCTACCTCTATCGGTTCATCCGCAAGTATGAGGCTAGGGTCCGTGCCCGCCCAGTCTTGCAGTGCCACTTTACACTTTCCAGGTGTGAAGCGCACGCCACGCTGTGAGGCGGAATTATTCAGATTATTTAATATTGTTTGCATTACCACGGGGTCAGATCCCAGAGGAGCTATGTCGTCTGCGTACTCGATGTCTATGAGCGGACGCCCCGTGAGCACTTCGACCCCACAGGAATTAGAGGCTGGTAGTGAGTCTCCCATGATCGCATCAATCACGAAGTTGAAGGGGAAAGATGAAAGAGGTTAGCCCTGTCGGACACCACTCGATGTGGTAAAATCAGAAGACAGCTTCCCGCAAACCTTCACACGGCAGCGGGAGTAGGGTACAGCGCCTTAATGAGGGTAAAGAATTTATGGGGGACACCTTTGCTCCACATACACTGCCATAGTGCCTGATGGTCCATAGAGTCACGGGCAGCTTTCAGATCAAGAAAAACAACCATTGTTGGTTGGTTGCTGGAAGCCGTGTCGCTGTTCCAGAATTTGTCAGAGGGTGGAGATATGATCGATGCAAACTCTTGCAGGACGGAACCCAGCTTAATTTTCACGATCTGTCTCTGTGTGTGTGTGTTAAGTCAACCATCGAAGGATAAAGCCAGAGAGCACCTTCGATGCCACAGCTAACAGGCTGATGCCACGGTGGTTTCCACATAGCGTCCGCGTACCCTTTTTGAAGATGGGGATAACTGTCGACGTGTCCCATTCTGCGGGCACTTTCTCTTCGTCCTATATAGTACCAATAAGCTTTGTCAGACGGGTCACCAGGGATTTTCCGCCTTCTTCAAAGAGACCCGGATACAGACCGTCCGATTCTGGTGCCTTCTCACGTTTCAGTACGTACGTACCTTACTTCCTCTTCCGAAGGACAATCAAGGTTCACATTTCATTCGCCCACGCGCATTATCTCCGCAGGCTGTTGCAGGAGGCCAGCTGAACTGCTCTTCGAAGTGTTCGGCCCACCTCTCCAGTCGAAGTTTTTTTGAGTGAATTAATGAGCCATCTTTTTCACTCATCGTTTCGCTGACCGTTGCTTTCCTAGGGCCAGTCGATCGTATCAGTTGATAAAGGACACGGCTGTTTCCCGCAGAAAAGGCCTTCTCTATCCCTCGGGCTTTCTATGTCCGCCAGAGCACTCGGTCCTTCCTTAGACTCTTCACTATTTGGCGTTTGAGGGATTTCCGTGCGCCGTCAAACTGGTTGCCTACTGGTATAGCTTTCAAAAAGGCCTTCTCTACCCTTCGGGCTTTCTATGTCCGCCAGAGCACTCGGTCCTTCCTTAGACTCTTCACTATTTGACGTTTGAGGGATTTGTGTGCGCCGTCAAACCGGTTGCCTACTGGTATAGCTTTCACGGCATCAATCATGGATAGCGATCTCGACGACATCCAGTGGTTTTGTGGTCGGATTGGAGAAGTCGGACAGACAACTCTGAACGCCGCCAACATAGCTCCTTTCACATTTTGCCACGCTTCATCCACATGCTTACTGCAACCACAGTATTGATTTACTGTAGAGAGCTGTTGGGCTAGCTCATATAGATACTGTTAAGCTATGGCAGTTCTTCAAAGCTGGTAGGTTGGCGTGCTTCTTGCCGACTTGCGAGAGCCAGAAGGAAAACGAACTGTCAAGCGTACGCGCACCATGCGTGATCGGAATCAAGTGGTGTGTCCCAGAAGGAACGACAGTCTTGAATTGTGGCTCTCCACTGGTGGCTGATGGCCAATTGGTCTACCTGGGTTCACGGTTGATTTGTAGTTGGCGGCCGTCAGGTAACGCGGTGCGAAAGTTTATGTGGAAAGTTTGTACGTCCCACCGTTGCACCGATTCCTGTTACTGTATTAACACTGCTGTTGCTTGAAATACGTTCAGGCCGATAGTGAAGCAAGTTTGCGGCACGAATTTCGTTATCACTGATGAGATAAGAAAAAGTAGTACCCTTATGAAGACGTCGACGTAAAAGCTGATTCGATGAAGTCTAAGACCATGTGTTAAATCCGGCTTCACTGTAAATCAATGATCCAACAATTAATGACGCTTATTCAGGCTAGGGGCACCCTATTCTACCTCGAAGAACACAAACCCTGTCTCCGGTAAAGGGATGATATGGATCAACATGGAGACCACCGCGTTAGTAGTATGAACCGTGGAGCTTAGGTTCGCTTCTGCTATGACTGATTTCAATCATGTACACCACAGCACATTACTTCATTATCCACAAGGCTCCAAGGTAGCATACGGTCTTCGAGGATTCAGTTGAGTCTCCCATTCAATGTAATTCCCGAATTTCGTTAGGATGAAATGTATCAACCACCAGGAATATTCGACGAAAATCTGGTGATGTACCAGACGGTTAGAGAAACTGGCATTAATAAAGACCCTCAATAGGATGTAACCTGGAAAGTATCAACAAAAGTCTGCTTCTGAACAATGATCAGTTTCACCGCTGAAATCCATACTGTCTGTTTAGCACACCTAGTCAAGATGGAAAGTGAATCAAGTACAATAATGAAAAACTGGTGGAGGCTAATCACGGCTACTATGTGGGCGCTTCAACCCACGCACTCAACTCCGGTATGCTAATTAGCGAATGCGTTGAAGTTTGTCGATATGACAGATAAAGACCTGTGTTATCTGTACACGACATAATACAGTGTTAGATTCCCTGCCTACAAAACGAGCCACAAGGTTATCCCTCAAGTGCATTGATTTGGAAAAGACAATAACCGGCAAGTAAATAACCGATGATCGACATGTGCCAACTGTGGTGCTGCCTATCACACACATAACATCGTTTAGCTGTAATAATCTTTCGGTGCCTAGCTTCTACGCCACTAGGAAGCTGGGATAGTGCTAGGCTGCCGAAACCTAGACAGGGGAAGTCGAGATGCAAAGGTCGGGTTCGAACCACGAACCTTCCGGTCAGCAAATTAGCGCTCTAACCATCGAGCCATTTCGTTCCACTCCATACTTAAATCTCAAATACGAACATAAACACCTTATGCAGATTAGGTTATCAACAAAGATCGTGGGAGTCGAGGAAAGCTAGGTTGTTTCGCATAATTGGCTGAGTTATAGCCAACTCAAGGCACCACAACAAGAGTATCTCATTCACAGGCGTCGCTTAGAAAGGAAGTCCACTTTTTGGATGATGCAAGCATATGTTCAACTTCACCGTGCGTCTGAGCTTATTTTCGTACTTCGCACTACGAGACTCTACAAACCAAAAGCACTATCAAGATTTTCCCTTTGGGCGTACTAAGCAAGCACAATTGACTGGGAATGAGATCGCTATGTAGAAAAGCAATCTTCTAATGTGTCATTTGCAACAGCTTCAGTGTAACATACCGAATGCAGTGGGTTTGTGACTGTTACGTGTACACCGCAATAGGGACAGTACGAATGAAAGTTCGGATAATATGAAATTAAGTGTTCTAGGGAGCCTTAGAAATAGTGGATAGCGCTGACACATGTCTGTTTTACTCCAACCTGAACCAGCGAAGCCGTTTGTCACCAAAGTGACTGTTATGAACCATTTTCTATGAAGAAAGCAGACGCAATAAAAAAACAACCTCATCAAAACTCGACCAAATGTCGTTTTATAAGCCGGAAACTGACAAATCAAGATTGCCGGTGCATAATCGGTCAAAACTTCGCATGACTTGGCGTGCGATAGAATTTAAGGCACAAATCATTTGGTCATCGATTACAAAATTGAGACTTGGGGATTAGGGAAAATGGATGCAGATTGGAGCTTGCAGCGGACTTGTAAATGAGGGTGAGTGAGCGCCGGCAAAAAGAACCTGCACAAAAAATGAAATGCACATAAGCTCTTCAGACGATTACACATGGGCAGCAGTAAATAGGCAGAAAAACAAAAACGCAAAAGACTGTTGCAAAAAGTGAAAAATTTCGGTCTGAGCAGAATAAGTAAACAAATATATTAGGGTAAAAGATGTAACAAATCTGGATCAGATTGTGTCCGAACAGTAGGGAGTCGGATGCGTTGGATTGAAACAAACAGGTAATAGGCACACGCGGAAGAGTTCCTCCGTGATTAGCGGCGCTGTTGTTCTGCGACGTGATCAGCGCGTTTGTGCGTTGTCAAATCATGAAAACGTAGGGAATCATAGACCGCTCTCAAAGTTCTTCACTATGTCCAACACACGAGAGGCACGTTTACCAGGTTCAGGAGAAACTTCACTCTGCTGAACGAATGACAGAGAAAGTCAGCAGTGATGTTTAACATGAAGACGGAAAGCTGCAGTAATCATTGGAAATTTATCAGAATACAGCCGATCATGATAGACTTTGAATGCGATTTAAACACTAACCTTACCTTTTAACACTTCACCCTTAGGCTACTGGGAAGCCTGCTCTACAGCCCCTAAAAAGGATGAAAAACTGACCCAGGACCATGGTCGTGAACATTGTGCACCCGGTGATACAACACCGCACAATATAATTGGACGCCTGGCAAATTGCTCATTTGTTTTTTTAGAAAAGTGATGAATTCACAAGAATTCAGGCCAAATTCTATGTTCCACTCGAATTGACTCTAAGACTTAGAAACAAATATCGTGCCCAGTCAGTGTGTTAAAACCGAAAGAGCTGTAACGGTTCGTGACAGTAATTCACTTCGTGCTGAAGAGCACTTTGATTAACGATTAAATTGGCTAGGTTAATGTAACCTCCGATCATCCGCACACATCTCGGAGAATGACAGTGTGCCGAAAATGTGACTTATGTGACGGTGTAGTCATATCGATCAAGGGACATGAAAATGTGACAGTTGTGTTTGACCTTTATTTAAGTGTCAGTTTCGTTGTTGACTGTAGTGCGACATGTTAAGTGATGTATGTCGATTCCCACGTGCATGTTAGGGAAGGAACTTCGAGGCCCGCGAAGGCGTGTGAAATCGACATCAGTTATCGAGTGCTCAAACAAACAGACATAGCCGATAGTATCGACAAGGAACATGGATCACAAACGGTTTCGGTCCACTCATTAAGCGGACTTAATTTACGGCAACCGGCTACCTTGAATCCATAGGCGTCTTATCATTAGGCGATATGGCCCAAGTGGTTAGAGCGTGAGTTTACTGACCGGAAGGTCCGTGGTTCGAACCCGACCCCTACCTCACGACTTCCCCTGTCCAGGCTTGGGCAACCTGGCAGTATCCCAGCCCTCGTGCTTCCTCCGGGTGGCATGGCAGCTAGACATTGGAGGGGTGTCACAGCCGACCGGTTTTTAATCGGTGCCTAACGAAAGGCGATCAACGATCAAGCAGTTACAGCTCCATTTCTGGTTCAAACAACTGATAATATGTGCTACCATGAGACTGAACCTCTCCAAACTTGATCTGACGGTGCCTATCCAGGTCTTCAGCTGTTTTCTGAAAAGGCTGTAGCAGTTTCCCGAAACGTGGAACGCTAACCTCCAAATTGGGTGTTTTGCTAACCTGTTGAATTATCCGAATGTCATTGGTCAAACACTTCATGTTTTCGAATATTCCCTAAGCGAAGTGATCTAGCTTGACAATCGCAGGTAATGGCCTGAAAGATTACCGCTTTGGCTGCAAGAAACTTTGATTTTATCCCTCTATGATAAGGCTTTCATGAACTATAGTGAGACACTTTGCTGCATCAATATTCTTTAGCTTCCCTGTGTGACAGAATGGTGGGACTCAAGCGTCTAAATGCTGTGGCACGTTCCGTTTCCTCACCTCCTGTGAGGAGGATTATCCCTAGAAAACTTGCCTGCGTGGAGAACGCCTTACTGGCGTGGATCACAAGTTCGACGGACACTGCATTTCTTCTTACTAAAGAGCCGCTTGTGGATCTCCAAGACAGAGTTATCAACACCTCCTAAGTTTGCAATCCAAATGCTTCAGCTCAACGAGAAACCACAGTACCCAGCTAGTTTTCCCTGCATCACTCAATCAAGTAAATTCAAGTTACACAAATGCTGTGAAAGGTATCCTTGTTTCACACCCGAGGCAAGACAAGAGTCATAGGTTTCCGAGTCGGAATGGAACTACGTGTTCCGTTTACCCAAGGTAACTTTTGCTGAGAGCAACGGGGTTGATTGACGATAGCTAGAACTAAATACTAAACTAAATACAATGCAAAGTTCAATCAAATAGACGGTAGTTTGTGACTGGGGGTGTAAAAACGATGATCATGGCAGTAGTATTTATGAGACTGATGGACCGATAATCCTCAGACAGCGTTTTTTGGTATTTCTGGTGGATTAGGAGTAATAATAAACAGACTCTATGGCAGGTGGAACAGAATGATGTGCAGAGGTTGTACAACTGAGGAAGGAGTAGCATCCCATTCTGGAATATTTTTACTTCTGAGAAGTTTGAAACCTCAAGTAATACCTGCTTTGCTGGGTGGCTCGCAGTTGGGACTCCACCACTGAACTTATTGTATGAAAATCAGGTGGTTGGCTGAAGTATTCTACCCGAGAGGGTCCACATCAATGGTTAGAGACACTGTCGGACATGGCCCAGTCGCGCCCTCAATGGCGCTCGTGCATCCAAGCTATTGCTTTCAATGCATAGCTCCCTTCCCAATCCCCCCACTTGACAGCCCACTGACAGTGCTGGATTTATGCACCAATTTATCATTTCCCGCCTGCAATGCGCAGCTACCTAACTTTCCTCACAAATCATCGGTGAACGAAACTGCGGCAGATACAAACACTGTACGACGAATACGCGGTTATTACAGCCGACAATGATGATGATGATCTACAGAAAGAACATCCAACACCATCAACTTCGGTGGCTCAGTCATGTGCTACGCATGCAGAGACACCGTCTACCGAAACGAGTGTTGTTCCTCGTGACTCCTTCAGAATGTTGCAAACCGCGAGGTGAACAACGTTTGAATTGGAAGACTTGCTTNCGGAACCTCAGCAGCTACAACCACTGTACGACGAGTACGCGGTTATTACAGCTGACAATGATGATGATGATGATGAACTGTATGAGTTGCTCCCAGCTCTAAATTTTTCTGGAAACTGGCTGTAGGAGTTGCCATTTACCTGAAACAACTCGAAGTAGACAAAACCACTGAGCGAATTCGCCAACAAGATGCTATAAGCTGATTAGTATTTGTGCACCTAAGTGGCCAGTGAGTTCGAAGGACCGGTTTTTGTATCTCATTGCAAGATGAAAAGAATTGCTTGCAAGAGAAGATGGAGCGATCCTTCTGTGTTTCCCTTTTCATCTCTTCGAAATGGACTGGTAATCTTCCACCACTGGTGCCAATCGGGACAATATCATAACGTGGTCGACTTGAGATGGTCTGCGACCATCCTCCAAATATTAGGTTGCAACTGCTGTTCGGGGTGTCGGAAGCACACGTTGGGGATGCATCAACTCAACTTATGACTAAGAACCTCAGGAGAGGTGATGTCACTAGGGCAGGAAATGGCGAGTGCTGGTCCTTACACGCACCCATGAATTTAAACAGCGAACATGTAAAGCGTATTTTGAAACATAGCCTTCACTGGGTCCTGTTGGCTATGGAACACTGAAGGTATAGCTATCGGCTGTCCCTCTTGTGCACCGGTCTGTGGTGACAAAGTCAGAAGGTAAAAATAAAGCGGTTTTCTACACAACTGTGCGTGGTGGCACGCCGAAAGTAGCACACGAAATGAGGCTCACCGAACTGTTTGTTGATTCTTTGGATCGACGGCGGGGGGAATCTGCAATGGGTTTGGGTGAATGTAAATGGGCTCCAAAAACAGATGCCCTGTCAGAAACTGAACCGAGGTCGTCCGAAACACCACTGCAGATACCATTCACCGGCTTCGACACAGCATCAGGAGCAGGCAAAGAGTGCCTTACACTATGAGGAGACTTGACCTCTGGGCGAAAATTGGCGGCGCTATTTGTTGTTTTTTCTTCATCACTTGTACTGCCTCGCTTCTCCGTAGTGGATGAATGATACATGCCAGCCAGAGGAGACTGGTCGATAGGATCAGCGGAAAACATGGATATAGGACGCTTAAAAGAGTCAGGAGCACGAGATCCGCTTGAAAGCAAGGATGCACGTTTTAGTAAGTCATCTCGTTCGGAGGAAGATAGAGAACGCAAACGTCTAGGGTTCGCTTCAGTTTCTTTTTCTTTCTCTTCATTCAGTGGTTGTTGTGCTCTGAAAAACAGACAAAAGACGACGGAATGCAAAAACAAGAAGGCTCGTAAAACAGTAATACAAAAGCGGGGATTACGTGCAACACATAGGTTGGGAAATAACGCGAAAACAGCACCAGTGGAAAACGTGCTCGTAGAGGGGAGCAGTAAATACCTCTAGTACTCTACAATGCAGGTGCACTGATAAAATAAACCGGTCGGTTTGGACGCTGCAGAACAGAATGGGTGCTGCACTTCAACGAAAACCGGGTGTTTATAATAGTAGGTGCAACTCCTCATCTTATGTCCAAAGAGAAACGAAAGTTGATGCACTTTTTAGGGAAAACAGGATCATCCACACACTGGTAAATGAATGAACAATGGATTAGCAAACGAGTAACGCATTTTCTCCTGCCGAAGAAAAGCGGGAACATCAGATTAAAGTTGTGCGTGCACCGATGCATCCCCAGCAAGCTGACGCCTGCTTCACATTGGGGCAAAACGTAGCACGCTATGTAGATTAGAACAAAACAAACAGTTTGGATAGCATGAGATTTCAGATCGGAAACTGATGTAAACAAATATCGGGACGGAGGTGAGGTAGAGAAAACAAAGAAAAGTTTTCTGGCAGGCTCAAAGGATCGTGGTGCCGTCTGACAGAGAATTCTCATAAAGAGGTTCACTGAGCAGTCTAATAGTGGGTCTCCTTTTGAGGCATCAACTAGCCACTAGGATCACCATCCGCTGAACGTGGAGCATTCAAATTTCCAGAATATTATCCAAGACGGTGGTTCACCGGATTTATGAACAACTCTGACATTGTACGCACAAAACCTCTGACAGGACGCCAAAAGTGTTGTTTGAACCATCGGAACCCAACTCTAAGAATTTCAGGATATACGACGCCTTTTATTATTCATGGTTCCAAGATTACACTTTGGTACGTTCCATTGACGGAAGATTTGTCCTCAAACTCAATCACACAATTCCTCTCATTCATCTACTTGTTATATCAAACAATCTGCTTTCTCTACAGGCAGACCTTATTCTGCCCCACCTATTTTTGAAAGGTTTCGATCCTCCTGTGTCCAGAACACACTGACAAATAACTGGGAGAAAACCAGTGTTTGTTCTACACGCAGACCTTATTCTGCCCCACCTATTTTTGAAAGGTTTCGATCCTCCTGTGTCCAGAACACACTGACAAATAACTGGGAGAAAACCAGTGTTTGTTAATTAGACGGAATGTATCAAGGCGTTGTGATGCTGGAACACCACTTCCGTACCTGCTTGTCAACGGACACAGGAATCAACCGTGATGTTTCCGTTCGATTCCACTAGTTGGTATTTATTGGCCGCGAATACGGCCACAAAAGACTTGTCGAGTTGGGTTACTTTTGATTGCCTATATCCCCCATTGTGCCAGTATCACCAAATATCACCTTCTCATAAGTGTGATTTCTTCTGTGCCTCGTGTGTGCCTAATAAACCAGGAAGGCCTCTTCCGTTCGAACTAGTTGGTATTTATTGGCCGCGAATACGGCCACAAAAGACTTGTCGAGTTGGGTTACTTTTGATTGCCTATATCCCCCATTGTGCCAGTATCACCAAATATCACCTTCTCATAAGTGTGATTTCTTCTGTGCCTCGTGTGTGCCTAATAAACCAGGAAGGCCTCGCCATCTTCGTGTGCTTCACATGCGGAGGACCATTCAATGCAACAGGTTTGTTTCATAACCAAAGTTCAAATTGTGATACGACCCGGGATGCTGAAGAGGTGTACGTGAAAATCGAATTCCGCGCTCCTAAGGAAACCAGAACGGAAAGTCTTGTTTCACGAAGAGTCGTATGGGAGTGAATTTAATAACTATATACAAGGATAGGTATATTTTGACGAAAAAGTAAAATGACCATTGCGAAATGATAGTGAAGACAATAAAGAATTCAGATTTCAATTCTCCGAACGAAGCGGGACGAGTGACCGTTCTTCAAGCAGATAAAAGTGAATTTCGAATACGAGAAGAGTTATCAAGCAAGACGGGTTGTAGGGAGTCCATCGAACTCATCAGGAAGTGATTCAGTCAGGGGTTGTAACACTAATTTACCAAGATACCCTACCCAGCTGAATAACAGTGTACAGCGCCTTCTAATGTGAGATACCCACACCAATGGACAACATTCCTCGTTGCTCGTATGCTCTATTACACGAGTTTGTCAACTATGGGATATCCTAGGAGAGTTTTGAGTCAATTCATTCTTCTAACCCTTTCGAATGACAAATCTGCACAAATCTGGAGAAAGACTGCTTTAAGATAACGTTCCCTGATAGATAAAAAGTACTCTATACAGTGTTCCCTCTGCAGCATGGATTTGAAAAGACAAGTAAATTCGGTCAAGAGATAGATGCTTGTATTTTAAGGGGCCTGTAAGTTCTGCACAAAGTTACTAAGTTGTATTACACAGACGGCGCCCATAGGAATGGTCACCAGATGGAAGCAGCTAAAAGGAAAAACAGGCGATGCCATTAAATTAAGGTTATTGAAACACGGTGAGTGGGTGTGGGTCTATCCTGTTGAGCACCACCTAGTAACGAGACTTCACTGTAGCCCAGCTTCGACGTAGCGGCGCAGTTGCTTCACTGAAAGGGACCGACTAGAGGTATCGTTTTCTGGGAGAGGGGAAGGGGGTCTAAACCGTTACAAGAAGTGCGGAAATGCCAAATGGAAATGGAACTAAACGGGGATAACTGTAGTTATAATGGAATTCAAGCATCCGCGTTACCGAGCATAAAACTGAGGACCGGACATCGCGAGTCCCTAGTTCCAGTTGATGATGAAAGTATGACAGGAATGTGCTCTGGAAAATAACGTGCGGTGGGAACTCATGCAGTTCAAAGAGACTAAACCCAAAACACATTGGAAAGAAAGAGGTTCACACTTTCGACAAATGGTCTTTACAAACTTCGACCTCCCATTTGTGGAGATAATCGAATGAGTGATCAAAAGTATGGTACAGATAAGCTAACCTAGGTAGTGCACAATACCCGATTAAGCTGTTTCTTAAAAGTTCTGAACCTAGTTATCTGAGATGGGTGAATCGAATGTGTTCTCTACGTTAGACTAACGATATTTTCACGAAGGCATCCTGGTCATGTGGCTACAATCTTGAAGATACCCATCGGCATGGCAAATCCAATAATCAGTGACGTTAGCATGTTCGTTCACATACCCCCGGTCAGTAACGCACCACGGTCTTAGCGATTTTACTTTCTTTTCTGCGTTCTCGGCCCACTCTTATACGATCGGTGGCTCAATCCACAGCATATGGTTCACTGTCACCAGACTGATCCGTAACATGAACTTGCGATTCCAAACGAGATGACCAACAATAAAGACTACAAATGAGTACAAGGGTAAGAACTGCTACATGTGCAACGTTCAGCGTAATTACTTTCCAAGATTCATCATCATCATCATCATGGTTGTTTTCCAGATTCCAAGATTCACACTCAACTATCCAAGGCAAGAGGCAAGGGAGAGCCACATCCGAGTCATGCATATCAACGTTTCGTGCAGTTGGTGATTTGCACCTCAGGAGTCGAGGTTATGCTAATTTGGCATTATGATGCTAGAGGGTAGTGGTAACGAGAATGGGGAGCGGTTGATGTAAATCTGATCTGTCAAAAAATTTGGAGACAAAAAGTTGAGGGGTTGAACTCAGTGGAAGTAGGGTAAGTTAGCCAACTCAATTAAGCGGTCAGGATGCGAAAAAAACGATAGCTGCTTGTGGGCTGGGGTGATGGGCGCGGGGGGTGTCATGAAATTTGGGTCACGTGAAGTAAGTTTTCGACGAGATACACACATACACACACAAAGAATATCGAAACAGTTGGAAAAATAAGCAAGCCTCTTATCAGGAGTTAGACTGCAGAACTAGTTACGTAAGTGGAAGCAAACTCTGCTAAACAGGTACTGACGGTTCGTCGTCATCCACAACGGGTGCGGGAGACGGGGAATCGCTGACACTGGGCTCAGAAACATCCAGTTCCTGGAATATTTCCTGGATCGCGTTGACATGACTAAACAGGACAGAAAAGTTACGACGGTTCTGATAAGTGAATGATTTGCATGATCTTCGTTGGATGATGGTGAAACAGAAAGACGCTGGAAAGAACCCCTAAACGTACAAATGGACGTAGCATCCAATACCGGGCGCATTCGAGACCATCAATCGCCTCTGAATGATTAATCCTCCATGAATACTATCTCCTTCGGTCTCGAAATCAGTTTTACCCACACATTATCTCGTTTTGAACCCAATGAACAAACACTTCAGAGAACTGCAATATCCCTCCTTCGTTATAAAGCGACAAAGGACTCATAACCCGACCATTTTATTCGACGTGTTTGACCGAACAAAAGATAGGAATATTGTTAGAAATTGTAATCCTGTAAGACTGATTACTCTACTACTGCATCTGGGTGAGAGCGTTTCGAGAGTCCTACTGAGTATTGATGAATCAATGCATACAGGACTTCTCGCAACGCTCGTCTGATGAGCGTACCACTGTCTTTATGTAACCTGCATTTAGCAATGGTTGATGCACCCTGTGCAATGCAACAAGACCAACCGCTGATCTCTTGTTGGATTGTCAGCCAACCAACCAGAAGTCCTATCTTCCACATCCACGATTGTCACAAAGATGGTTCCGTTTAATGCCATCACCTGAAAATGGTTTCCCCAGGGAAGAAATATGCATAGGTGTTTGTGATTCAGAGAGACAGGCAAATATTGAAAGCTTTATTGAGCAACATCCAAACGCAGTAATACATAATATGCTGCCAACGAAGCATAGATGTGATGATCTTAAAGAGAAACGGCTCACCGAAAATGAGCTAAGAACCCGGAAACCATCAGTCTAATGGCAAGAGTGCTGAATCATGAGGTCTTTTTTAGAAAACACGTTATACACAAGCTCTTTGCTAATCACGTATTGGGTAAACTGTGTAGTTGGCTCAAGTGGTTACAGAACGAATTTACTGACCGGAAGGCCTGTGGTTCGAACCCGACTCTGCCTCTCAACTTCCCCTGTCTAGGCCTGGGCAACCTGGCATAATCCTAGCCCTCATGCTTCCTTTGGGTAGCATGACAGTTAGGCACCGGAAGGGTGTTGCAGCTGAGAGGTTTTTTAAACTGTGTAGAGCTGGTTTATCTTGGAATAGAGTGAGAGGTCGAACCTGAAGAATCTGAAGAATAGGCTGAGACCGAATATGATCAAACAGCCAGGTGGTAGTGAGGCACCAATTCGCAAAGCAAACCGTTCAGTCGTTCCGTGAAGAGCTGAGGACGTTGTCAGTCCTTGTAATTTAACGGAGACAACATCAAAAAAATATAGTATGCTTTGAACCGTACCCACGGGTTCCCTCCGAAGGAACATATTTGAGCTTAAGTTCCAGAGTTTGAATGGTCATTCTGCCTCAGATGACGCACACTTGCAGTTGCGACAAAACCAATCAACGTCTTTCTCAAAGGACCCTCAAAAACCTTTAAAACCAGTTGCTACAGCCCATTCCAGTGCTGGCCAAATAAAACTCGCCATCATCGATTATAGAACATATTTCGGAGATAAGCCACTTGATTGGCCCAATTCATGCTACTACCATAATGTTACACAACTGATGTCTATGAGAACATCTGGGAAGAGAGTTGTTGATCGTTGCTTGTTTACTACGTCTGCCTACGTTCCAACAAACCGTAGCTGTGATGTTACCGAAGAAAGCTTTTGAGATGCCAGGAGGATTTTGCAACACCAGGCTACACATCCAGATACATTCGTTGTTGTCGGCGGTATGAATGCGGAAGTAGACACAGCGCTGCTGAAACTCAATTCGTCTGGAGCTGGACTCGGTATGAATGGGCAATCGTGAACGCTCCTGGGACTATGTGCTAACCATACACTGTTCCTGTGCAGCGCTAAGTTCTGGAATTATGTAGTGTTAGGCAGGAATCCACGCGGATCCCACTATACCGCACGTCTTTAGGCGCTGCTACGGCCGAGAAGCCTGGCCCGCTCGAGGTTGGCCCAAAATTCGGACACTTGCCGGTCCGGCATCAAGGCGAGATCTGATTGGTCAACAATCTGGACCCAACAGCCAATCATGACCCAGTATTGACCAAGTGCCCGTTGCCAATGGCGCCCCAGGACGCGTCAGAAATTCCAGAAAGTCATAGCCGCTTACGCCATATATACGAAGCGCTGTACAGCTGTTCCTGATTTCGTTTTGTGCGTTAATAGACCTTGTGCACCTTTGATGGTTGTTTTGACGTGAACGCTAGCTTGGGGAGCTCAGACCGAGAACTAAGCTGAGGAAAATACCGTTACTGCAATTAGCTACATGGCAGCTTACACTGATAAAATAGCCTAAAACCAAGAATATCAACATTGCCGTCAAGTATGGGTAGCGTGGATCGCTCAATGACATCTGCTGATTTTGGAATATTTATGTTGACTCGTATCATGTGGTTGTCCGTTGTTGGTTTTCTCTGTGTCTTTCTGGAGGCACATGAGATTTGCACGCTTCATGTGGCAACTGTAAAATTCACGGATCCCCAATAAAAAATGATAATACCGAAAGAGGCTTCAAGAATATCTGCGAGCGAACCTACCTACGGGAACAAAATCTTAGTGGAATGTAATGTGCACAACCGCCCGAAGTACTGGATTGTTCGGGAGACACCATAATAAATGTCATAGACTTTGTGCAAGTATTTAACCTTACTTGAATCTCTGAGGCAGTTCATGAGTGAAGTTACATTGAAAGTACCCAGGAGTGTTCCACCAGGCTAAAAAGACGCTCTAATCCGGGTGCAAAACTCTGCCCCAACGTTTAACGGAACATGCACTGCCCACCGAAAGCTTCCAAGATCATCAATCGGTTGACAGTTGTTGACTTTGAGCAGCATTTTCACCGTCCCACTTCGCCAGACAGAGTCACGTGCAATAAAGTTTGCGGAGGCGATTGCTGTTGCGCTTCCAAACACAGCTATCTGTGGCCATTACACCACCGTAAATGTAGTGCACAGACTCTGGTTTTCGTAGCTCAGTGTTGATAACTTTGCCCCTATAAACATGTTTGTTGTTGTTTGTTTGTTACTCAGTGGTCGAACGAAGTGTTTGCATATTCCAAGTTTATTCTCTATTCGAATTGCACAAGCTGCGTCAACTACCTATTCCACCACGACCAGTGTATTTGCCAATGATGAAAGCCGTTTAACCCATCAGCCAGTGAGCATCGAAAGGAAGAAATTGCCAGTCAGCTAAAAAATGGAGGCTACACTGCGTTCGAAATATAAGTAAAACTAGACCGTGTGTAAGATCGACAAGAGTTAACAACTTACTGGACATTGTGCGATAGTCCAGCACCAGACATCCGCTGTTGCTTGGGTTCCGGACTACGCGAACAAGCTTTTTTCGGTTCGGTGATCATCTCAGCTGATACCATTAGCGGTGTCAAATCTGGTTGAGGTGGTCTGGCAGGTGCTTTGACGCGACTAAAAACGTAAAGTCGACAAGTTTCCAAAGTTAGAGTTGAAGTTATCAGACGACTCCACATAATGGCCTACTGAGACCTAGCGAAATTCAAGCCGCTAGGTACCGAATCTCACCGAGGTTAGCATGGGAAGATACAGACAATAGCACGCGTGTTGAAATAAGTATGGATCAGAAAAGCCAGATGCGCAACTAACGTAACCCGATGAAAGTACGAGGGCTGAGATACTGCCAGGTTGCCTATACCTAGACAGGACCAGTCGACTGGCTGGGGTCGCGTCTGATGAAAGTAGAGGGCTGAGATACTGCCAGGTTGCCTATACCTAGACAGGACCAGTCGACTGGCTGGGGTCGCGTCTGAATTACGAACGTTTTGGTTCGTGGTTTATTCACCAAGTTCGCATTTTAACCACAGAGCTATCTTGAACCTATGGACACCCAATACCCACTAGTTAGTTTAAGAATTAGGTATATATAAATTCATGTGATGGAGTAGGTCACATACACATCTGTTTCGTGGGATGTAATGATGCAAGGTAGTTCTCGCACTGGTATGTCACGCGATACTGAGCAATACTGTTACAGATGGTACCAAGCGGCAAATGAATTCAACACAACACCACGGGCACAAATCCCGATCGGGAAAAACCACAAACTGATCGTGTTATCCAAAACAAAAAATGATTTTCAATTGCCACTACTGTGAATGGAAAGCCTAAGTGAGTTACCGCAACCGAAAAAATTGAGGAGGGAAACCGAACCCACTAATCCATGCTTGCCAGCGCGTCCCCTACCATCTGAGCTTCCGTCGATGCCATGCAGGATCAAAGTTACATGCATCCATCCATTGTCCAGCTATAACACCCTTTCGGGAAGCACGAGGTCTGGGATACTGCCAGGTTTCACAAGCCTAGACAGGGGAAGTCGAGGGGCAGAGGTCGGGTTCGAACCAAGGGCATTCCGGACAGTATGTTCACGCTCTAACCACTTGAGCCATCTCGCCTCAAGTTGCACACAACAGTCCGCGGACCCCGAAAGGAAGAATACCACAGGAATACGGAAAATGGTTCGCTCGAAGAGGATGCTTAGCTTGTCAGCAAGGGACAATCTTGTTAATCCTTTCAATTCTCTGTAGTTTGAGTAATTTGACAGAATAACAATCCTACCGTTTAGACTCTACCGATGCTGAAAGGCTCCATACTTTCGCACACAAATAAGCCATAATCGTCACGTTGGATGTCAGGTTGCCGGTAAATCTGTGCAGTGACCTCACACGAAATTTTCGCTGAACGTGGTAAAGATGAACTCAGCACATTTAAGCCTTTCCACCCAAACGGATCAAACATTTTGAGTGGCCCGCTGCACAGCGTGATGTCATGGCCTCATTATCGACAGCTTGTTCCGCAATATCAAGGGTCAATTGAACCGACGTTGACGAACAAAAATACCAATTTCCCATGGCACCGAGTAGCAGGAAGATTTTTTGACCCCTTGAGAGCGGCGTGAAAAAGCACATTATTTTCCGCTAGTTTTGTCCTTGTAATCACTCCACCGTCGTTCAGTTCGGTTTGATCCATCACGTTTTGGATGTTTGAATTAACGAATATTAAAATCAATGAATAAGCGCTCAGCTGTAGCATTATTTTGGTGCCGTGCAACCCTAAAGAAGCACGGTGACGGTGATACCGTCAGGTCGGCCAAGCCTAGACAGAGGCAGTCAAGATGATCAACGACGGAGCCGGTCAGTAAATTCGCGCGTTAACCAATGAGCCATCTCTGAATCTGCAACACAAAATGACAACATAACATGGCGTTTACAGTGATCCTGACAAACGTGCCAGGATCAGGCGGTTTAACATTACCTGACACGTCATTTGCACTGGTAATACAACGACCAACTATGTACAACGATTTCACAACTGTTGGTTCACGGCTGAGTCTGCCTAAGTTGAGGCATTGCCAGGGCTTCAGTCCGGAGCGTCATCTCTGTAGATGTTACCAGTTTACTGTAATAACCAAGGAACCAACATTTTCCATAAGGACTAGTCAACATAACCCTCGCGCACCTGCAGCGGAGTTTTTTAAACGCAGGAAAGAAATTATGGGGATGACAGAGACCATCTGTGAAAAATCCAGAAAAGAATAGGGTATTAGAAATTGATTGACAATTCATTTGTCCGTTCTTCAGAACTGTCCGAACAAAAGACCGGCAAAAGATCGCTTCGAGGGGCGAACCACAACGCTCCTATGCAACCGCTCCGGAAGACAGCATGATCTGTCCATCAACTGGAGGAGCATTTACATAGCTTCCACGGTTATCATTCGTAGAACGAAGAATTCGTTTGCTCCAGAAAGGGAGCTACACTTGAGAATCACTGGCAAGGTTACAACGCTCGGACTTCATTTTTGATTCTCCACAACTCTAATTAGTGAAACACCAGATGAAAAGCAGTTGTGAACACTAGTCTGTGGCTTCTACTGCAAAAAAACGTTGATATCACCCAAAAGTCCAAACTTCTGCTAGTTCAAGTTTCCTTTTCGCTTGCATTACGCGAATTCATCTTGAAGAAGTCACTGAACTCATTATTTCATACTGTTTACTTTTCAATTAGTGTCTGGCCCACGTGCGGAAGACCGTAAACTTGACAAAAAAGCTTGTCAACCCGAATTGCAATTAAACTACAACCACTAAACGACAGATCGCAGCTTTCATTGTGATTCACTAAATTCATCGGGTTGGCATATGACTTGCAAAAAAACAATAATTAACCGTGTGAAACATTGGGATTTGGTAGATCGCTCGAGATGACGTCAAGTACATATCGCTTTGCAAGATTCCGAAGCAAAATGAGACGGTTATATTGAGTACGGATGGTACGCATGAATTAATCAAAATAAACCAACAGCATGAGAAGTCCAACCTGACGAATGTCCCTCGGTAGCAAAGCCACTTTGCACGCAAGTGTACCGAATTACTGAGGCAAGTCACGAGTGAATTCTGCAGTAACACAACCGTTTAACCAGAGGTTGTGAAGAGATCCAGAAGTTCTACATGCGGACGATTCATTCTACCAATGCAGCTGCTTTATGCTTTTCGGCGAATAATCAGCAATGCACCTTTTACGGATCATGAGAGAAACCTGAAATTCATATGTGCGAGCTAATCAGCGTGATTGGTTTGCATTGGGGCAAGACATTTCATTATGCGCAATCTACGCTGTATCAGCTGGTGTGGACTGGTTCCTCTAGTGACGGCTTCCCAGAGGGGATGCAGGATGTTGTCGTTTATGATAAAAATTGCTTCTACCTTGTGAGAAGAGGTGCTCCGAGGCTTCTAATCCAGATTATTCTGGAGAAAAAAGAGACAGCTGTACAGTGCAGTCCGCTTTTTTAACACACACTGACCATGGTTGCGGCATAAGAATCTAACTTTAAAACCATATGCTTAGGAAATTTGTCACACTACACGTTATCCACCGACTAGATTGTTCTATTCTGGAGGTTTGGAGAACTCTCGTCCCGGTAGACGATGGTTCGGCATGAGTAGCACATGACCGAGCCACTGCAGTTGACGGTGCTGCGAGCGAAGTACACACTGGACGAACTAACACACAATTTCTAATTGCATTTCGAATTCGTCGACGTTGTCTGAAATCGGGGACATTCCTGAGACAGCGACAGTCGAAGGACTGAAGAAGCTTCGGATCATTTGGTCGCTGAATTCATGCCTGCATCAACAAAGTCCATACTGTAGGCTGGTACCAGCGACACTTGAAACCTAAAGATATGCCTTTCTGGCTTCACGAATGATGCAAATTGGAAAGTGTCTTCCTGTCTTTCGTGCACCGACCTCATCAGATAGGGCCGATACATCATTCTACAACCTCTAATACTTCGCCTTGAATTGTGAAGAGAGCATATTCAGAAACCGCACGTTCTACGACCCACGTGCCAAAGGTTAGTATGACGGCGGTGTGCTTTCTGTCCGTTTCCAAAGATTAGGACTATATCTTCTGAAAACTTCAGCTTGACAAGACTTGACACCAGACTTTGGAAGCCCTCTAGCGTTCGCTTCATTAGTTTCTCAAAGAGTAGGAATCCTTGTTGGGAATATGTTTCTGAGCAGGAGCTTCCGGATAGCTCACCGCACACTTACCCATAAGCATGTGAACTCGAAAAACAAGCTATGTCCATCCACCTTTGGGGCACCCTTGAACAGGCGTGTTTAGGAATGGCTATGGAGAGAGTCAAACGCACACTTGAAGTTGGCGGAGTCATCTGTCCTGCTTATGCCCACGCTATAACCAATGACAAATCTGCCCAGATGAGCCAGCCCTATTCCCCTAAAGTAACTCCTTTTGACGGAGCGTCAGTCAAAGAATGCAGTTGTATATGCTGCTTGAAAACATCGTCGAACGCGGGACCTTCGAAATACCGGACACTGAACTGTGAAGACACCACTGATCCCATACTGTTGCTGCGGGGCCCTGATGTGTGGAAATCATAGTTTCTCAAATGTGTAGGCAATCTGCTTTTGACCACTGGATCTAGCTTATTCGGGTCATGCACAGTAATTCTCAGTGTATTCTTTATTTTCCTCCATAAGTAAGACATTAATTATTCACCGCTGTTGGGCAACAGTAATTGTGACTGGTGTTTTGATGGTCATGTTGTTATGAAGACACACATGTTCTGCAGTCGCACAGTACATTTAGGTGATATAAATCATCGCGAATATCGACGCACTACAATGCTCCCGAACTCGGTGTCTAATGCGTATACAGGTAACACATCAGTGTTTGGGTGATGGATGAAGTTAACCCTCGCGTTCGTTACTTTACAGTAAGCACACATCTAGATTGAAGTGGACCGCAAGCAGTCAGCTACACCATATTAATCCTCAAATCTGCTTGCAAAAAGTCAGCAAAATACATACTGATTTTTACTATGAGACTGGCATATGTGGACGTTTCAACCGAATTCCGGTTAGGAAAAGTAGTAAATATGGAACACAAATATGAATCGCCCAGGAGAGCAGGCCTCTGGCTTCGCAAGACAATCTAACAAAAACCTCACCTGAAAAGCGGAGTTGTTGATGCAACCTCAGTTAAATCTGGCGATGCTTGGGTGGACACCAATTCTTCATCAATGGATTCCAATTTTGGAGTGGAAAAAGTTGTTGACACGACGGACGGACTGCTGAAGAAGGCGATACACCCCTCATCATCCAGATCACTGGCGATTTCCATTGATTCATTGGATGATGAGGATTTGTTGGCAGCTCCGCGTGTTGGAGGTCTTCGGTTCCGTTGTCGACCTACCGCCAATTTGTGCTGCATTCCAGCGAGGTCCGGGGATACGTTTTGCGCCGACAAGGAGCCTTCAGTCTCAGCCTGTAATGGACTGCTGACATCTATTGAGTGGTTGGAGCTCCCACGTGCTCGTAGCTTAGTGCAGAGTTCCCCCTACAATGAGCCAAAGGAAGAGTATGCCAGTAAGAAAAAGCCTGGAACATTGGGAGAGGATCAAGAGAGAACTATGAGCCTCAAGGTGTCAAAGTGACGTGGGGGTTTGGGTTGGGTGTTTTTCTTCTGTCCACAACCCCGACCGTCGGAACTCGCACTGTCGTAAGCTACAGCAAACGGTACACCGATACAGGGTGTGACGCAAATGGCCATATATGTCAGGGTATAGACCAAGTGGCAAAACGTACGGGATTATCGTCCAACGAATAAACCGGCCTATAAGTGGGCTAGCAACTGAATAGAACGTGATCACCCATGAATCTTCAGGTGCATCTAAATGAGCTGATATGTACAAATTCGTAAGACAGTAGGACGAGCTAGAAAAGCCACAAATACTCCCGAGTGCGGTGAACATTACTGCCCTTGATGGAACAGCTGATGCTTCATATCCAAGCTTGTAGGCAACCTTACGAAAAATTTCGATTGATACCATTGTGCGAGGAGTGTCCGTCCCTACCATCATCCTTCCAATCGATAATTTACCGCTGTTTTTGTTAGAAGGCGTAGACGTCTAGTGTTGAATCGTTTGCAGTTACCGCTTTCATGATTTTGTTGAGCTCAGTAGTGCTCGAGTTCTGCCACCGTCAGTTTTCATCTGGTGACTACAAGTTAGCCGCCTATATACGTCACTAGCTAGTGCTGTCATAGTTGAGTAGTAAAAAAACATTAACACATGCATGATGGCAACATACGCCTGTTCCATAAAACGTTCAGCTGCAGCAACCTTTCGGCGCCTAACTGCCATGCCATCAGAAGGAAGCACGAGGGCCGGGATACTGCCAGGTTGCCCAAGCCTAGACAGGGGAAGTCGAGAGGCAGAGGTTGCGTTCGAACCACGGACCGTCTGGTCAGTGAATTCGCACTCTAACCACTGAGCTATCTCGCCCCTTTTCTGTTCCATCATCATTTGCATACATTCTGCCTTAACTGCTAGAAAGCTGAACAAAACTCCCGTAGCAGTAGTTGTGAGTTTCTAAGTCAATATGGACAACAAGAAGGGGGAAATAAGGGATACGGAAACCTACTTGGAATGCAGGGGGATATGGAGGACGACTAGGGACGGAATCCCGAGGGCTTAAGTGGGATGCACCAGGAACTGGAGCACTGCAAATAGATGCAAAAGAAACCAGTGAGCAGAAAAATGACAGTAGGCGTCTGCTTCATAGGAATAAATACGATACAAAGAGCATAATAATCGACGTGACTGTCTTGGACACAAATGGCTCTAACAAACAGATGGAGGCATTAGTTTGTCTGTAAATTTATTAATTTTGGTGTTTGGACTAATCCGGGCTAAGGTTCACTTGGATATATAAAACGATGAGAAGGAATAGCCTCATTCCAGTGGGGATCCACTATCGTTAACCGCAACAGACCGACCTAGCGCAAGACAAACTCTGATGGTTATCGTGTCAAGTGAGCAATCAAACGGCACCCAATGGAAAGATGTCTTTCATTCCCACCCAAGCCGAAAAAAATAATTCTAGCATGACCCTTTAATACCTGTGACTGGATTCTGGCTTATTCTACATTGCAATGCTATCTTACATGATTCTGATGACTGCTGCAGAACACAAGAACAAGTTTCTTCATCAGTGAGGCAGAGCGCATACACTTTTAGTTAAGAAAAAGTCGTTCTTTTACACAAACATCGTTAGCGTATAGTTGAAAAAAATCTAGATGACCCTGAGGGGACGCTCCAGAGTGATGTTTTGGAAGGAGCATACCACCCACACTACTCATTAACGGTGCCTGTTTGCATCCAACTAAAATAACATCAATTACTGGAAGTTTTCGGGCGTACTATATTTCACTACGGCCTTCGTTCTTCAAAACGAAGTCAAACTATGTTGGGGAAATCTAGAAGTGTACATCTGTTTTCATTCTTGTGCGGATTTGGAATCGGCGCCCATATTTCGAAAAGTAAACTCACTGTGGTTGATCAGCAGTGTGGCTTGGTTGCACTAATTTAATCAATAATTTTATGGGCGCGTCACTGGTGGCTCGGCTCAAACTAAACCGATTTAGTAGGGTGATTAGAAGGAGCTTGAGTTCACCAAATAGAGAACAGCTCACAGTTTTTCATCTATGCAACAGCTAAAGAAACGCCCATCCAAAAACTGTACAAAACACTTTGAAGCAGGCTCACAGACCGAAGATCGATGAGGTTCTCACTCGACAAGGGAGTAAAAAAGCTGTCTAACCAAACGAGGGAACTATGAACACTAATCGCAACAAACTTCTAGAATATCACTGGCTTATTCGGGACTCACAAAGTGCGTTGCAGTTTTCCGGTGGGTCTGGAGAGAGAATTAGTCAGCTAACTGCACAGCTGCCACGCATTGTCCTCTAAACGTGACAGTCTTTCTACGCGGAAGTCCGGACTTTCGAGGTGATGTGTAGAAAAAGTTTAAGGAAATTAAAAGATCGTCTAACTCCAAAAATCGACATACATACTGACCTTGCACTGGATGGATCAATGGGTTCGGGATTCACCTGTTCCACTGAGGACGCTTGATCAGTTTTCGGTTGCGGACATCTGCCACGGTTCCTCTTAAAAAACGGAAGACTTAAGCGCTTCCCCATTTTCGCGAATAAGCCCTTCCGTTTGGCTGAAATTATAACAAAGTTCATAGGGAGTGTAAGGAGGAGTGCGTACAAATATGTGAGTACATGACATAAGGAACCTCACCAAGAATGGACGATGATTGAAGTGAATTAGAATCTGGATATCTACATTGATCAAATAAGGCCACCACGTGAAATTTAGGGAGGAATATAAAGTGCATGTGGCAAAAAACACGACAATAGACAGCCAGATACAAAAGCGTAGAAATCAAGGTAACAGCACAATAGATTGTGAGAGGTGCATGGGATATTCAGGAAACATGTGGCTAGTCGCCAGACCTGTGGTCTTATTTACGTACAGTGCAGACGAAGTGAGTACACTTTCGAACTGAAATTTGTCTTTTCGCTTCTATTCCGGATCTCAATGCGCATAGTTGAACTCAACATGATCAATAACTCAATTAATTTTACTGTACCAACTTCTTCACGCGTTCGAACATGGACAATGAGTGCTAACGTACACTTTCTTCCCCTCATAGGAGTATGCTCGGCTACTGTTATAGTAATGAGTCTTCTTCTGGCTTCGAAGGCAGAGATTTTGAAGATCACATGAGGGCTACCTCAAGAATGACCAGTGTAACTCTTGACACATTTGCTGCCAACTGCCCCGCAGCAAATAACTCACTAGTAGATTCGTCCGAATAAGTGTTACGTTATCTCAAAATACAATAGTTTACCAGAAAACTCCAAGAGGAAAGGAGAGACTGAACTCCATTAGGGAGAGGCGGACCTGTAGAAGATCGCACTCTAGGTCGTGGATAAAAAATGCCGTCTTCGGAACAGTTTGGGAAACAATCGGTAGACTTGTTGGTGCAGCATTTTGCTTTTGACACAAAAGCTTCGTCAGGCCAGGTGACTAGGTTAGGAGGTTGGCAGAAAGAGAGCCAATCAGCCAAGTCACGCTAAATCTGTGTTAAGTGTTGGTTAGGGTGGGTCAGCAAGGGTTAAGACCAGTGGTTTGTCTATCCTTCTCACATGCTCGCCAATTCTGGTGTGCAGTTCCCCGGCATTGTCCTAAGTGAACCTTGATGCAATCGCCGCATTTGACTTTATACACACCGTCCCACCCTAATAAACAAAATCCCCTAGCAAACACCTAACGCCGATGTAGCCTGACTTAGCTGATTGGTTCTTCTGTCTTTAATCTCGATCAGCCTCGTTACCTTATTATTTGGCCTGACGAAGCCTTCAAAAGCGAAAAGCTGCCCAGCCAACCCTAAGAGATGAATGTCATTGAGGTCAACCAAACCGTGCCGCTTTAAATAAAAGTGATAGTGTTGGATTGTCGAATGACAAGGACTTCCTATGAAGTTAGGGATGTGGCTGTATTTTGGCGACCAAGAATCCGAGGAAAAAGCAGTTATTTAATCATCGTCTTGGGCCAAAGGGTGCCATCGATTGTTCGTATTACTCGTACTATTAGTAGGGACAGTGTGCGAACGATAAAATCTTCCGATAATAAAGTAAATGCACAGAAAACTCGGCTAGAAGAGAGAAGACGATTGAAAGATTATCTGTATATAGCCGATAAACACAAAGGTTACATGCAGCCAAGTCCGGATAGCATAGGTTTACCGCACATTAATCATACACCGGTATCCTGGACAATGCGAACTGCATGATTGTGCAGACAACAAAACAAAAAGATTAACTAGATTAAGCAAATCCAACCACGGGTATTTAAACGAGCAACTCTACATAAAACTGCCTCCTCGCTTCTTCACCGCTCTAGAAAAGTACTGAATACACGTGTTATTGCACAGCACACTAGTGAACCTTGCTTCAGATGGCTACATTACAATGTCTTTCCCTAATGCAGATGGCAGACAGCTCAGTGTGTCATCCAGGGATGTACCACTACCCAACCGACGGGAGCCTTATGCGGTTCGTCACTCCAAGCTCCTGG